ATTTCGGTATTTTTTTTCTTTCGTCTGAAAATAAGACGATCGTGCATTAGCGAGTTTCCATAGCAGTCTTATTCGACGGCCACACGCAAAGCAGCAGGAGCAGCGAAAGCAACAGCAGTAGTATCGTAAAGCGTAAGAGTGTGCGTGATTGTATCGGTTAGTATATATGTTTCTGTTTATGTGTGAGGCGATGTTATTGCGCGCTTTAAACAGCAGACCACCAAAACTGGAAAAGGTGTCCCGAATAGGACAGCATGACTGGCCACTGCACGGACTGAATAGTGACAGCCAATGGTAGTCAGGAACAAAAGGCATACTTTCCATTTCTGCACCGCGTAATGGTCCTGTTCCGAGGTTCTCCGATAACTCCTATGATATCAAATGGCTGCGGCAGGGTCGGCCATGTGGAGCCGCTGAACATACACCTGCTACACGAACCTACCATACCATTTATTACATTATAACGTACTATTTATATATAGTTAATGATGCAAACCGGAAAAATAAATATTATAGTTAATAATAATATTTGCATCTCAGCGTTTTTTGTCATTTATTTCTTGCTACGTGTATCTAATGTATACGCTCACGAATTTTTGCTTCGCATTGTTCACGTCTAAAGTATATGAAGGGTAGAGACAAGACGCATGCGGCGGATGGACGGTAGGACGGTGCGGTAGGACGAGGCTTAGCCGACGCTATATGTATGTATATACATTTTTCTTCGGTGTACCTATTCTATTTTAACAAAGTGACATATTATGGTCAGATACTATTCTAAAGGTCGCGCAAACTTAAACTTGTTAGTAAATCACAAGTATTAGGATTTATTCTTCATTAGCTGGGTATACTACCTGGCGACTTAGGTGAGACTTAAAATAAGGGGTAACATTCGTTTATATCTAGTGAGATTCAATGTTGAGATAAATATAAGTTGGCTCATTAAGTATTAGAAAATATTTTAACACAAGCTTTGGCTCTCCACATACTGTGACCGTATAGATGGTCGCAAACTTTTCACACGCCCGGTGTCCACTGCAGTTCGTTGTATCACACTGTGTCATACATATACACCTTTCTACAAGTTGCCATAATAACGGTCATCCGAACTGCGTACCAAATATCCGCATAGCTTCATCCCACAGTATCGACCCGCAGCATTCGTGTACCTTTTCTTGTTTTCAATAGACAAATGTAGCATTTGTCGATTTAGTCATTTCCATTCTTGATGCTGTCGTCGTCAGCGGCGACACCGTTCTCGTCGCCGTTGTTTTCTGTTGCTGCACCGTTTCTCTTGTAGCTTTTGCGCCTGCTCTACACGCTTTTCTGACGTTCTCCTCTACCCGCCGCCGTTAGTAACAGCAGCTGATGCCATCCCCTTGTGTCGACTCGCGTTCGCCTTTCTTCGGCTCGTTCCGGCACCTTTCTGCGGCGGCGCTTACGCTTGTCAGCGCCATCTCAAATACCCAACATGGCTAATTGAGCCAAACCTGGCTATATAGCGGCCGCAGAGCTGCCCGACGCGACTGGGCTTCACTATCGTGATTTCACGTTTCCGAATCTCGAAGAGTGGAATAGCCGCAGGCCAACTTCTTCTATTGTTCATGTTGCGGTATTCAGCACAATTAGGCCGAGCTTTGCAACGCTAGTATCACGCCAACCTTGTCAACGGGTTCCATTTTACGACGACTGAGGATATGTAAGATAGGTATTGTGCCTTCTGTTATGTGGTCGGCTACTTTGGGTGTTTCTTCGGGAAATGCTTGGCTGCACAGAAGAAGGTAATAATAATGGTGACAATGATTGTTACCCTTGTTACTGCTGCACTGGCACTAGTCATAACGTCCGTAACGTTAAAATAGCTGCGTACAGAGTTTCCCATGATGCCATTTCCCGACCGCTAGCACCCACCACAAAGTCAACGAGATCTGGCAACTGACCGCGCTCACTTCACTGTAGATTTAAGTCAACAACGAACTAACAACAGACAGACAAGCTTCTTGCCAACATCTATAAACATTTAATATAAAAAAAAACAAGCCAGTATAAGAAGCCGAGAGCCTGAACCGCGACGTGCGCCCGACGCAAAAGAGGCGTAAAATTTTCGGACGTTCGCAGACGCGAGTAAACGCCTTCATGTCTGATTAACCTAGCGGAATGAAAAATTAAATAGCTCTGTTCGCTCATCGCAGCGGCTGCTGCTGCCGCTGCCGCTGCCGTCGCTTGTTTGAAGATTCCTGTTTAATCTGGATGAAGATAAGAAAAGACGACGCTAAAAACCTTACCCAGGTGCCACGTATCTTCAGCGTATTCAAGGAATGAACCAGATGAAAATGCCTATTTTATTGGCTTTGATGACGCCAAATATTCAAAGAGGAATGCAGTAGTTCTATATATATATATATATATATGTATATTGTTTGTATATTTCTTGAAAAATGTTAAAACGAATATTCATGTTTCTGTCAAGTATTAACGAGAAACAGACATCGGTTCTAAGAGGTACTTTCACTGCATGTAAATTCGCATAAAAGGTCTCAGTTTAGGTTCTTCAAAACATATATACACTAGTCAAAACTTACTACGTGTAATGTAAACGGATGCGAAGCATAGTAGCATATTCAGTCTTATATCATAAGATGTATGTTTTGAAAAAGTGTATGTCGATGTTTGTCACCCTCTTTGCTGCGGGTTACCCTCATGCGCCGAAATTCCTGAGAAGTTGGATTTCCGTAACGGTTCTTCAGCAAAGAGCGATGAGTTCAATGCGAGATGTGGCAGGAAGTTGTGAGAACTTCAGTAAATACACAAACAGGATTTATGGATCGGCGTTTCACGATTTAACTCGTCGCGGCACACGTGATCCTCGATCTTTTTTAGCAAAACTACATAGACAGTCACAATCTCATTTTATAAAAGGCAGTGGTTCTTCCGGAAATCGACAAGCTGTCCAAGCGAGCCGTGATCGCATCAGCAAGTAGTTTCTCGATCAGGCTTTTTTCGCGATAACCTAAGTAGGGTTACGCGGCCCTATCCTATAGGTTTAGTTGAACATGGTCGCTTGCACTTCCGTCCCCTAAGTGGAACGAAAAAGCGAATTTGGCTACTATATGTAATCAAAAGTTAATCGTAAGGACGTTCAGTAAACCATCCAACATTTCGGATAAAAAAAAGTCTCGCAGAGTGGAGCTTTGAACAGCAAGGTGTACGATATCTTGATGGCTGGCTTATTTAGTTATGCCTCGAAATTAGAAAAAAACGCTTTTCTGCCAGTTCTCTGATATTCTAAGATAAATAGTTGTTTCAACACATGAATAATAATAATAATAATAAATAAACAGTAAAAAAATTTCGGTTAATGTAAAACTATTTCTACGGGTTAATGCAGAAAAAGGTCAAAAAAAAGTAGCCTGTTTGTTGGCCATTTCGCCTACAGGTGTAGGGTATCTTAATGGCTGACCTATTTAGCTATAAAATTCACCTATTCCCATGTGTAAGGTAGTTAAAGCAGAGTTGTGTAATATTTTTTAGGAGTTTACATCGCAAAGCTATGACTAGTTCTCACTATGAATGGACATTCGCTAGATATGTGCCTAATTGGGTTATTATATAATTGTATCGTCGCAGACCTTTATGCATCATTGGTACCTTATAGCCAGCCGCGCACGCCGTATCAAACTAGCTATCAAGGATCACGGATCTGCAGGAGCGGCTATTAGCGCAACGGTCTGTGACAGGGCCGGGGCCTAAATCCAGATAACGTTTAGAAAGGCATATATTCAATGCCAGACTGTTTTAATGCAATGGTCGCATATACTATTAAGTGTATAAATTGACGTAAAATTGATACTATAGGTCCGACTTGGCTATCGTTGGTATTCGTCGTTATCGAAATAAAAATGATAGAAACGTTCAAAGCAAGCTTTTTTTTTGATATTCAGTAATATACTGACATTTTTTAACAAGAAGCCCTTTATAAAATGCGCCGCTTTCGATGTTTTAAAGGAAGGGTGCAACGACTTTCCAAAATAAAGTTTTTTTCATTATTATTTTCTCAAATATATTTCACGTACATTTCAAACATAGAATTGACGTTTTACATTATTTATATCAGTAGAGTGCACTAAAGGTACCTCGTATGCCACCACCACCATACAAAAGGGGCTTCTGCGCTGCCTAATGGGCATCAGCCTCCTATTCATTCAGTCATTCAAGCGGTTTTAATCTTAATACATGCTGAAACAAGTCGCACGGTCATAATAGCCATATCGGAGCATCTGTCAGTCTATCTATTACTGAGCGTTCAGACCACCTACAGCGAACGTAGCTCAGCTTCCTCGGCTGGATGGCGTTAAGCTCGTTTCGCTTTAGGCGTCTTTAGCGTCGTCAGTAGCATCCCTTGCTATTACGCTAGCAAATAGATAGGGACAATTCCTTGATCTTGACTCGTCGACCACACGCACGCACATTCGATAACAGGCTAAAGGATGCATGAAAGAACTTCTCTTAGTCTGATCATTACGTCATTGAACATATGAACACATATTGAAATTTTCACACCTTTGCACTTTTCTAGAGCAGTGCCCAAAGACGGTGTTTCACGCAGCGTCAAATAGGACATTAAAAGAATGCTTTCTACACCACGCTGATTATACTAAAAAATTATCAGTGTTGACTAGTCGTAACAAAATCGATCTGAATCTGATCGGGTCCGTGCTGATCTCTTCAAATCTATAGTAAAATTCTTGCAGAAAGTCTGTCGTTTGGAGCGCTCCGTTCGCAAACAGATCAAAGGAGTATTCATTCAGAGCATGGCTATTAATAATGGTATCGTGACTGTTAATAGGGTTCCATATAAACCACGAAATTAGATTAAATTTTCTAATTTCTATGTGTTTGTGTAAATTATGTTAGCGGGGTGCTGAATATTCGTAGCGTTTAAGACAGAGAGATGCCACAGATGGTTCGAGCTGAGCGGAACCTATTTTGTTTTAGTACTTTAGTTTAAACGGCGTCTCATCAATAGAAGAGACAATGGAAAACAATCTTTCTTTCAAGCCGCTGATCGTATTCAATGCACTTCTTAAACGAAAATCTGTGATTTGAAGCACACGTAGTGTATGTAGCACACGTACAGGATACAGTTCGGCAGGTACGTAAAGGCATTGCATGTTCCGTGCACATCTCATTCACACAATAGGTTAATTGTGGTATCGTCCATAAACGTTGCTTAAATAGTTTATAACTCGATATTTGACTCAACCCTATGATGTCGGACACTTAGAAAGGCCTGACGCACAAAACTTATTCAGATAACTTACTACTTAGGTGATCAGATCCAAATCACTATGGTTTTGTTATTATAGAATATAGTGCCACATACTAGAGTATGGCGTTCACGTTCATCACCTTGACTCGATGCTTGTTGCTTTGATTAGTAACAACGTAGCAACAATGCGATGATGTTTTTGTTTAACTAACAAATCTAATGCTGATCTGATCGAGGTAAGTACCGCATAATGATGCTATATCGACTTGCAACTTGTACCTGCGAATCGATTCTTTTTATCTAATATGACTTAGATTGGTCAACTGTAAATCATAAAAACAGGTTTTCTGCTTAAATTTTCTTATACCCAACTCAACACAAGACATAAGTCTAAAGTGGTTTATCAAACGGTCAAATAGAACAGAGTAGTATTTTTCTACTTGTTTCAAAGCAAGTTATTTAACTTCGCTTTTTAGTTAGTTTAACTTGTACCTTGACCTACAGGGTCATAAATAGTAAATCTTAATTTAAAAAGGAAAACACTTGAGTTTTGTTTCACTTTATTTTTTTTCGAAAAAGGTAAACAAGGCCAGCCCGTTTTATAGACCCAGCCCACACCTAATCGAAATTTATTTTATTCGTTTTCATTATAGCAGTTTTAACAAACTCTTTCCTCTCGCCTGCGTATTTGTTATCCTTTCCTTAACCTCACTTTTTATCATAATTTTTCTTTTATTATTTTAGCTTTGCCCATTTTTATCCCATCTCATTGGGCCCTACCCAGACCATCCGTCTATTATTAATTCACAAACGACTACTTTTCTTCCTATAATGTATTCAACGTTCAATGCGTCTTGTCAGTCCCGACTCGATGTTATTTCCCACGGTTTATAATTGTGAGCTTCGTGCAAACCTCACTTGATAGCTCCATTGCAAACTAACTCGTTAATAACTACAGTTACTCATATCTAACTACTCAGAAAGTGTTTTTGCCTTTTTTTTTTTTTCATTATGTTACATTGAATGGTTTTCTGCTGTGTTGTCTCGGCAAAGAATTCAATCATAAACTAATTAATAAGAAGATTATGTAGTAGTTATCTTGCAATAGCATACTGCCAACCAGCCCAATTCAAACTAATCTGAGTTAGCGGGAACATAAACAACATCACAGGTGCACTATACCTACCTAAAGTATCATAGCACCAACGCATAAGGATGATCTATGCATGCGACAACAGGGGCTATACAACTTCATAATTTTTGGTACTTCGCATGAGGTCGATCAATATTGAATAATTTTGCATCCATTGAATAGTTAGTGACATTTAGCGTGCGCTGTTTTTTTTTTTCCATAATTTTTCTAATAAAATTATATTACATAGATAAACCTATCGTTAATATAGCATGTTTCAATAGAACGTATTTTTTCAGTGTTTTATTCAATTAACCCTAACCAAATCACACACAGTCGACAGATCGCAATGATTATTGTTAGCAGTGTTTATATATAAACACTTGTGGCGGCTCTGGCAGTAGCTTACAACAGTTATGGAGCAGCTTGAATCCCTAGCGGGTTATTTACAAATGACCGGCAGTCACGACGAACGCCGCAGGCGGGCACCGTCGCCTCTTCATCGTTCCTCTCCCACGGCGAGAAGATCAATTAAACTTTTCAATTTAATTAGGAAATAGACCTTTGCCAAGCGGATATTGCAGAGTGACGTATTATACAAACACAGCCCTATACAGACAGTCACGATCTCGCATAGTCAAACAAACAAATGGCTAAATGGTATAAACAAGCTGAAAAACTAGTACAGTCCTTTAAGTTCTGCATTTCTACTTTTATGATGTAAAAAGTTTTATCCTATGCGAGTTATAGCTCGATAAACATGGAGCATAACTCGTGAGCGTGTCTGTTTCGTCCGTTGTAATGTCACAGTTGTAGAGTTCGTATGGATAAATAGTCTGTCTCAATGATAGATGTACATTTGCGGAGCTCACTCACAGCAGATGAGGCAAATGCGTAAACCTATTTTCGCTTGGCGACATCTTTGTTGTGGCGTACCTATGCAAATACGGTCGTTTAAAGGAGAACAAACTAGAGAAAGTAGGATCATTACGATTTAATGCGCTATCTACGCATCTAAAATAGACGCCTTCCTTGCTATTTGTGCGGATGCGTATATCCTGTCATTCTCCTTGAATATGCTTCTAGCCTACCTAACTATTTACTGTATGTATATACAAAGCTCCCCTTTGATTCTTGAAGCTTGACAACGTAGCAGTTTCTCCAACCCGGTCAGGCATCGTCTATCGACTTTTCCGTGAGTTAGTCTCGTCTTGGCTAATAACTGAATTCAGGTCAGTGATGATCCCAACTGTGAGTTATCCTAACGTATATTTTTTTGCCATTGTACATTATTCTGTTTCGTAGTCGTGGACTGAACAAAGCTAGCGTACAGAGGTATAATACGCTACTTTTTTTCTTTATTAAACAATAAACCCTAACTGATATCTACTTAGCTAGCTAGCAGAGACAAGCCGCGAAATTTTTCACGTTCAAATAGCGTATTTCCTATTGCGTTCGATTCAACGTTTGCTCGTATGGTTAGCTAAGGGCGAAAACGCACCCAATTCACACATCTGCGTAGTTCAAGTAAAAGGCATACAGTTGAACAACTAGGACCATAAAGGTAGCCTGTCTAAAGCATTACGCCATGAAATTTTTGAGAATCGAACGTAACGTTAGTCTGCGGCGTAACTTTTGTCCAGTGTGCTGGCCGTTGTTCGCTTCTGTCGTCCTTTGACGTCTATACCTATTAACGGCCTTCTGTCCAGTATGTGTCGTAGAAGTAGTATAATGCAGGCTGTGCCCAATTCTCATTGTGAGGGCAAGCTGTTGCTTAACGTTTACCGATAGGGGGCAACGGTAGATTGCTATGCGGGAAATAGCCGTGAACTTACTGCTTGCTCTTCCGTTGATCGAACACTCTTTCGCACTATACGTACTGCTGATATCTAATGTTTTGATTCGTGAAGAGCACAAATATTGAGTAAAAGCGACAACGAGCATGGCCTCCCAGGCCTGTACAGCTCTAGTTATTGTTGGCTAGGGCATCAACCAAGACAGGGGCAGAATTCAAAGTGCTATTGGTGCTTTCGACGTCCACGCCGATGAAGACAACGCCAGTCACTGAAGGAGGGAGACCTGGGGTACCCAAATACATTTCAAGCGCCTAGTCAGCCTCGTGCCGCTTACGTTCTTCGGCTCTCAGATGAAGCGAGATTTTTTTTGCCTGAGCATAAAGTCTGCTCTCCGAATACTCGTATACAGTGAATCAGTAAACGTGCAGCAGTGCTTACTGGTGTTCTCGAGGATTTACAACTTTTATCTCTTATACTTGCTTAGGACCGAGTACGTAAGCAAGCAAAGCCGCTTACCCCGAGAGATGCTATGGGTTCTGCACGGAAGGAGACAGTACGGGAACGGTACTTTTATGTCGAATGTTTTTATTAAGTCAAAAAATCAAGCAAAGCGCGACGCTATCACTGTACATGTTCGCCTGTTTATCATGCCGACCAGTCTTACGCACTGTCACCTACATGGAAATATCGCATGTAGTTAACTGCCTGTGCTTGTTGCTCAGCTCCGAAGTACCAAATGATGGGACGGTTTGTGTTTATTATTATTGTTTCTTCATCGGTCCACGACCGCTTGTCCACGAGGAGTTTTATCAAATGTTTGTTGCAACAGTGTATGTACACGCTGATGTGCCGCGCGTGCATTCCTCGCCCATAGCGTTAAAATGCTGAACGAGCTACAAAGTAGCGGCGAACAAGTAACAAAACGAAACGGCCTTACAATTCTCGTCTACTACAGGCATATTGCCTGCCACGCTTTTTCTCTCTTTATCACCCTTGAGAACCGAACGCTCCGTGCGATGGCCGTAGCCTGGTACGCGATCGGATCGGCCCATCCCGCCCTAGCTTGGACTCTCCCCCTCGCTTGCTTTTTCTCTGCGTCTCGATTCGCCACTTGTGTACGTCTACACTCAATCGACGAAGCGGTGGAAGCACAAAAGTACCACAAAAGGATTACAACATCCTCGATGGCATCGACAGCAGCAACACCAGTGGCGTAAGTACAGCCAGAGATTTTAGAGCTGGCAGAGACCTGCTAGTCTGTGCATTCCGCTCGAAACTGGTCGAGCTGCCAATATAAGTGACGGCGTCGTGAGCGATACGTAGCGGTCGAGTCGTTCGTAGCGCTAGAGTGGAAGGCAGATCAACGAAGGAGTGGTGATGGCGCCCAAGAGAAAATGCCACGGAAAAAAATCGTTCGCCGACTACTACTACCACTAGCGCTAGGTATTATGCGTCGACGAGGTAGTAGAAAGGCCGAAAAGTCAAAGACTGAAAAAACAAGTCGAATGGATATAGGCAACATGGGCCAAATTGAAGCGAACAGACAACAAGCATCGATTCGATAGAGAAACAAGCAGCCTTTGGATCAAGACGAAGTGAAGAGCTGCAGGCAAGAAAGCGAGTGCTTGCAGCAACAGCATCACCAACAGCAACATGAAATCATAAATTCTAATTGGCAGTTTGCTTTCAGTCCCCCGCGACGGGCGCCGGTTGACATGGTCCATACGTGGTTGTGGTCTCTTTCACAAGTGTACTTGCCCGCAGTTGAAGACAAAGTTTCGTCTATGTAGTGCTCGTCATCATCATATTCGTATCTAGAGGTGCACCCCGCGCGTACCCAAGGTGCCCCTTCGCGTTGTGTGGGAGCTGTGGTGGTACAGACGACAACGCGACCCCAAAACCTAAAGCTATAGCCCGTATATCCACTGTACTTGGAATGCTGTTGAGGCTACGAAAATCACTGAACGGATCTATGAAGTGATCACGAGCCTAACAGGCGTATCTCCTCTCATATTTTGCTTTAATGATAGTTGGAGGCACACTGATATACGTAAACACACGGACACACATGCGATTGACAGATCTTCATAGCGCGAGATGAACCGGACGAATGGCAAAAGAAGTGGAAAAGAGGAAAAATCGGGAGAAAAACAATACCTGGTGCGAACAGAATCGGCAGCAGGTAAAATAGCATAAAACAGGATAAGCAGCAAACCGAGGGACAACTATAGTTAAAACATTACCGGTAAAGGAAGCGAAACAACTGAACGGAGGAAAAACGGTCGAAATGTAAGAAGCGAAAGCGCCTACGCAATCGTTATCATGATAATCCGTATTGTTAGACGTAAGTACGTCAAACGGGTACTAGCAATCTTCTGGCGAGCATTATGGCTTAATAATGCTCATAATTTCTATAAACATACATCGTGAGTCTGGTCGTAATGAGTAAGATCCATGCTGTGTAAACGCCCAAGTGATGCTGTAGCCGCTACCTTCTTCTGTGGAAGCCGAAATCACATCAAAAGACGGAAACGGAAGTCGACCTGATGAAGAAGGCTAAAGGAATGGGAAATTCCTTTAGCCTTCTTCATCAAAAAAACAAAGTTAATTGTGTCATTTTCCTTACGAACCGTATTGTAGGGAGAAGTTTACTACTTATCTTTTTTGTACCGGACATGCGTTCGATCGAGTATGTGAATCAGTAAATGTTATAAGTTGTATCTCGTGCCAAGAACCAGTTCCCCCCAGACTCCGCCTTGAGCTTATCATGGAAGTCACATGGAAAATATACAGTAGGGGCAAGCGTCGACGGTGTACACCGTGAAATTTTGTTATATGACACGACTTATGGCGACCAAAAACAACATTACAACGAATTGTTGATGGATTCGTCCAAAAATAATTAAACCCTGAGTGAAATGGCTTACAACTCGAACCTAGTTAATATTGTTCGGTCTTGGTGGACATCGTATCGTTCGAGTTTTTGCCCCAAAATAATTAACCGCTTCCGTGAAATATTCGTTTAGGAAATCAACTTTAGGCAACGAATGCGGTGGACATGAGCGGCTCGAGCTCATTTGCAGTAACATGCATTATTGCTAAGCAGAGCATTGCCGTCAACGGAAAGCGTCTAGACAGGAACAGGCAGGTGTCCGCGTTATGAAAACAATAGGACGGTGATAGACAGCGCCTATGAAAATCGTATACATTCTGCTGCCTTCATTGATCGGTTAGCGTTGGTGTGTACATCCACGTGTGATCGATGAGCCAGCCGATCAAAGCCGGCTAACTATGAATGTAATGGTCGGACTATCTGGCCACCAAAAAAACGCTGGAAAAAATTGACACGAAAGTATACACGGACGCACACATACGAGGTACGTACTGGCAGGCTGGTGGGAAAACAGCGTCTCTCTGTGATCCGTATCGATAGCACGCAAATGTAGAAATGAACCAGTAGACAGAAGATCAGAAGAACCAAAAAGATGCTGACGTGCTTTATGTACCCCGATTCGGATCAACTCTCATATACGTCAGCTGAAAAAGTGCGATGCATAAAATGTTCTGCGCCCGTAGTCTGACCATGTGGAAACGAGGGAAAAATTAGATTTTGTTGTTAGAGCCAACCTTGAGTCTGTGATTGTGTAAATTAGCTTTGTCGTTAATTTGAGTAAACTGAATATTGCCTTTATGCCAGAGCCATTGAAGTCTCTCCCGTAGCCATTCGAGAGAGGATTTAGCAGCAGCCATATAGAAATGGCACGCCATAGAAGTGCCACTTTTGTTGGCTCAAGTAGGTTCAACAGTAGGCTGACAATAGAGACAGTTCAGTGGAAGTTTCTCAGTCTGCATAAATTGGTGAATCATGCGTCAGTTTATGAGAGGGAGACTGAGATGCTCATACAAACAACTGAGATACAAATTCATATCATGTATACGTAAATAGGCTAAGGGATAACAATTACACTAAGTGGGATCATCACCAATGCATTCAGAGACACAGACCATCCTTGTTTCATAACTGTTAACTAGTCGATAACGTGCCGATATTTCCGTTGTTTTGCGCCGTTCGGCGCTCACTAGATCTGTTCGTCATTATTTGATTTCACGTAATAGTACGCATTGACGTTACTCAGTAGTTAATCAACGTTGCACTCCCCTCACTTCGATACATATTTACAGAATGCTAGTATGTACATACTTCTATATACATCTCATTATCATATATCTATCTTTTCATACTCCAACGTGCTTGCCGTCTCTTCCTCTTCCACGTTTGCACGCAACAGTCTATGGGCAAAAAAGTTATCTATAACGTTTTTCAACAGCAAGTTCATGCCAGTTCGCTCCCCATCACGACTTTCGGAGTTCGCCTAACACCTTAGGGGGTAACGTGAGGATCTTCCGGTGCTGTCTTTAAACACAAAAATGGAGTAACACTCCATTGAACTACGACGTGCTATTACCAGCAGAATTCGTATCTCACTTTGGAAAAGATGACGTTTTGCGATATAGAAATGATATTATTTCTTGTTAGCTATCGACAACAATAAGACGACCGGACAGAAAATGCAATCATCCGTAAGAACATTGGAAAAACCGTCGCATAGGTTTCGTAGCAAAGTTCCTTAAGCTCGCCTTTGTTTAGACGCACTTCCCGTGAATGGTGGTGGATACGCTTGACCAGTTCCGCTGCCACGTCCTAGTATAGGTAAAGAAAACCTCAGTTCGATGCTTTGCAGACATCGGCGACGCTTCATCTTGAGTGATGAGGATCCTTTGATCTGTTACTGCTTGCTCGCCTAAGATGGAGAATTTTCGAAGAACAACTAGCGCTAGGACTAACTGCTACAAGCGACCAATTTTTCAACTCGATCAGATACAGTGAATTACATGTTTTTATAGATCTCGACCTGTTTTCAAGACAGAACACGAAAATGTAGACTATACATTGTTAATAAACAAATTTGCACTATGGGTATTCGTGCGTGATTTGTGCGTCTATTGCTCATGTCACATAATGTGTGCTTGCCCTAAATTATTGCATAATCGGAACTGATCACCTGTACCGTTCGGACCGATCACTTCTGACTTAGAAAACGGTGCCAACGTTAGCGTTCTTGGCGTCGACGTTATCCGTGACATACCATACGTTCCGGTGACAATTCATGCTAATTCTCTTCTACCGGGTATAAGCGATTACAACAGCAGGAATATGGCGAATCGTCGTTTGTCGACGCGCTTGGAAATTATCCATGCACTTTGTTGTGGGACCCGTTCATATTGCTCTATTTTAAAATATTTCTGATAAAAATAGACGCAAATGGTTTTCTTTTGTGCGCTCTAACTATGCAGGCCGGCCTGCAATTGAGGCACAAACGAAAAGAGGACTTAACACAGTTCCCCTAAAAGACTCGAATTAATCTGTTCTTACATATGCAGTATATTATATTACTTCGTACACGTTCTCATTTCTACGGAAAAGCCGACATTATGCCATCGAGCAATTTACACATTCACTACTTAACGTTCTTTAACAATCTCGTACACGGCTTCGGTCGAATCACCCAAGTCACTCGAAGATTTTAGATGGTCATCATCAAATGAATGCAGACAGCTTCTCGGCTGGTTACTTGCGGCGACGTGATCGCGAAGACGACTGTCGAGATGAGTTGTTAACGTTGACATAAGGGGAACAGTCCCTGCTGCAGATGACATTCGATGATGGTATCCTGGTGGGGGAAGTGTTTCTCGTTGACTTCGCTGAGTCGCCGTCCACAGGTCAGCCGTCAGATCAAGAAAAGGCGGAGGCAGCGAAGGAGGTGCTACCGGAAGTATGGTACTGTGCACCGGGCTACATTGAATAGCTCCCGGTGCCTGACCCTGATGTCATATGTGCACGGCAACAGTCGTCACATCCGAACGCGTAACCTTGCGATGGCGCGCGTCGGGCATAGAATATCGCAGTTTATCCCAAAAGTTCTTTTCACCCCAATGTAGAAACGTGCTATGTTTCAGCCACATTCGGATATCAGGGTCGAGCTCCCGATACGAAACTCGTCCGAAAAAGATAACCACCAGTTTGTGATTGCTGTTATTCAATACTTCGTGATGAGCGGACTTGAACTCGTAGCGGCACCACTCGCTCTTGAGGAAGTGCTCCGACAGGACGACAATCGTCCGTCGGGAACTCTCGACCGCTTCCTGGATTGCTTCACTTAAGTAGCCGCCAGCCATGGGCAGGTCGCGGTAATGTAGACATAGACGGTACGGAGGATTTCCGCACTCCAACTCCGGGGCGAGTATCTGTGCTACGAATGCCTCGTCCTTTTTCGTGTACGAGACGAACGCATCGAACAATTTCTCCTCTTCGGCAGGCGCCCGATGAAACATGCGCACGCCGTAATGGCTGAAGAACCACACGCTCATCTGACGGCGGTACGCCACTAAAGCAATGATGATGACAAGACATAGAAGGAAGACTGCACCGACGACAACCAGTATCGGAAGGAAATCCTCCACCCGACGGAACTGGAACTGCCGCACGAGCGTTGTAGCCTGCGATGGGCTATGGCAGTCCGTCACATTTAGTTCCCATAGTGGAAGCGCTGTTGTCTCATTGAACAGGCACGATAGCTGGAAAATGTCACGAACCGTGTCGCCTCGTTCGTGTAGGAACTCGGCCAAGCTATGCGTGTAGTGGCAATCACATGTCCATGGGTTTCCCGCCAGACGAACCTCGGTTAGATGCGGATTATATTGCAGGCTCCACACGGCTATCTCTACGAGATAGTTGCGGTCAAGATGAAGAATTTCGAGGTTCTTGAGATGCATGAACGTTACGTTGTTTACGTACTTTAGATGGTTGTTTGACAAATATAGCTCTTTGAGTTTCTTGAGGCCATCGAACTCGCGACCATGCAAAGCCAGTATTTGATTATTTTCAAGGCGGAGCACCCGAAGATCCGGTAAACCGCCAAACGTGCGGTTCTGAATAGTTGCGACATTCGAGTTGTTAATAAACAACACCTTCATATTCTTCCGCCCAATGAACGAGTGCGGGGTAAGCGCTGGTATGTCGTTACCGTCGAGATACACCTCACTCACATCCATAGGCAGCTGCCTGGGCGTATCCCGATGTTGACGATCGCTGCAATCAACTATATTTGTTCCCCACGACTGGTCATGGTAACAGGTGCAATTATCTGGACAGACCATCTCGCAGTCGCACGCATCAAAGTCACAACAATGGCATAACGAAAAGCAGTGGCTTTTGTACTCGCATAGAAACTGTGAGGACTTTACCTTGAGCAGCGGCAGAACTCGGACGTTTTTCGAAAAGCTTAGCTGACACTCGATGCTATGCAAATCTATTACGCGCGGATACTGTCGAGATTCGTCGTTGCTCGTGTTGGCATTTAAACCTGAATTTGGACCCGAACCAATTGTAAGGGTATTTTGCAAGCGCTGAAGCCATTCCATATGGCAATTGCACTGATAGGGGTTGTCCGCGATGGCAAACTCTGGCAATGGACGTCGGCTTGACACCTCGCTTAAACGAAACGTAGTCATTTCGAGCACTTGCAGTTTGTTCTTCGTCAAATCTACCCGGGTCAGGTTCTGCTTACCCAGAAATGCGAATGGCTGGATTCGTTTTAGGTTGTTATTTTTGAAATACACGATTTCGATACCGTTAGGCAACGATGATGAATCGAGGTCTGTTAGTTTGTTAAACGACGCATCAAGCGTGCGGAGTTTGAGGCTCTGTTCGAGTTCGAAATAATTTCCCAGCGCCTCAATCTGATTGTCATGGATATCCAGCCACTGTAGTCCCACCGGGATGAGAGCATAGTCAAACCATCGGACACGATTCACCGAAATATTAAGCATAATAAGGTCGTGAAGACTGCTGAACAACCCATTTACGTCCTCAATGACGTTCGAATCCAGACGAAGATAGTGAAGGTCTGGAACATCATCAAACGCTCCTTGCTCTATAGCCTGAATTCTGTTGCGAGCAAGGTTGAGTATTCGTACAGATGGCAAATCGTTAAACGCACCCTGGGTAATGTTGCCAATCATGTTACCCATCAAGTTAAGGGCATATAATTGCGAGAGACCCTGGTACGATGCGTTAGCTACATCATGAATATCGTTGTCTGACAGATCAAGTGACCGTAGCATTTTCAAGGCCGAGACAACGCGAGGTACAATTGTCAACTTGTTGCCGGCCAAATTGAGTTCTTGCAGCATCGTGATATCCTTTAGGGCGTCATTGTGGATCGTATCAAGTCGATTATGATCCAATTGGAGCGTAAGCACCGAGCTCAGACCAGCTAGCATATGTGGACCAACCGTCTTGAGCCGATTGTTGCTTAGAACAAGCAATTGTAGGACCTCAAGCGCCGCGAACGTGTTGTCTGAAATGAACTCGACGAGGTTATGTTGAAGTTGCAATGTTTCCAGGCTGCCAAGTGTTCGAAATGCGCTGAAGTCTAGCCGAGTCAGCCGATTATGACTGAGATCGAGAACACGTAGTTTTGTTGGCGTGTCGACCAAAGGCCCGTCTTGTCCTAGCCAACCAAGTGACGAGAGCTGGTTATGCGCTAAGTCCAGCATGGTCAATTCGTTAAGTCCAGTGAATAATCCTGGCGGCAATGCACTTAACGAATTGTTGCGCAAATATAACTCCGATAATTTCAGCGTTCGTTGGAACAATGCAGATGGCAGCGCGACCAACATGTTGTGAGCCATATCGAGTCGCTCTAGCTGAGCGAGACCGGCCAACGCACCAGGTTCGGCCCTAGCGATTTGATTGTGATTCAAACGCAGTTCTTGCAAATAAACTAACGAATCAAAACCCCGCTCTGACAGCACCTTGAGCTTATTGTGAGCTACCTCGAGTTCGCGTATCAGCGGGCCACAGCGCGATTCCGAGGAAAAGCCTGTATTCAACACATCCGAAAATGAGTTACTCGTCAGATTTACAAATCTTAACTGGCTAAGTCCGCACAGAAGTGCATGTGGCAGTGACTCAATATTGTTCTCACTAAGGTCTAGCGATTCGATGCTCTCGAGGGAATCGAAGGTCGCCGGAGGTATTCGGAGCGTGGCGCGTTGACCCCATTCGATATTAAACGTCTTAACGGCGAGGTGCTTAAGGTCGGCAAGACCCTGAAAAACTCTTGGGGGCAGGCGATCCAATTTGCATCGTTCGATGCTCAAAGAATACAGGCCACGCAAGTGCTCAAATGAACTATTCGCTAATTCACTTTTCTGCAAGCTCGATTGGTACTGGTGCAGATCTTCAGTACAGCGGATGGTTAACTGCACTGTATGGCCAGGCATGATGAGCGAAAAATTCGTTGCGTTCGGCCCACCCTGTAACGTGCGCACGCTACACGTCATCGAAACGCCACCACCGCCAACGAGCGAATTCGATAGCATCGGTTCCCACGTGCAGTCTTCGGCTCGCACGTAGTTCTGCGCGTCGCAGCCTGGTGGCAAAGCTAAACTCCACAGAAGTAGCAGCACACAGCTGGCCACCTGTACCGAAATTCTCGTATCGACGGCCATGCTACTGCAGCAAGAAGCGGTCGGCTTCGACCCGCACACTATTTGGCCTGGTATTGATGCTGATATTGCTTTGACGTCCTCGATCGGCTGTTGTAGTGTCCACGATCCAGGGGCCGGCGGCATGGACTCGTTTTCAAGTCCATGCTATATACTTGTCAGTTGGCTCGGTCCCTGTATGCAAATCCTCGGCAATCATATGTACACGAGCTTCTATTATTGCCACTATTCTTATTACAACTATCACGAAAGCGGAGCCACCGCCGCACTATCACCATGCACCACTACGATGGAAGCATCACTGGAAAACACCATACACTGATCGGATCGAATAACCATCAAGAGCGCCACTTTCTGAAAATTTCAAAAATGGAAAAGTGTATCCAGACGCGACACGTATGGTTTGTTCACGCACAACTAATTTCTCGTAGATCCCTACGTGCACTCTAGTTAGCAAGCGACTGTGTATTCGTCAGTATGTGCCTCTAAATAGCTAGACAGTCTTAAGCAGATCGGCACGTGTTGCTATAGCACATGCCGCAAGAGCAGTCATTGGACCGTTTCCACGTCGATAATACGAATAGATTAGCTTAGCTTACGACAGAGCTGCTATTTCTGGAGTGGCTAGTTGCTCGGTTTTAGTAGAACATTGGCGTGCCTTCAGCCTTCGAAGCTCAATCCGAAACTGGCCGAAAAACTAGTCACCCGACCAGGAAAGCGTTTGGGCTCGCTGACTCCCGCCCTCCTCTCCCACTGAAGGAGGGTCTCGGGAAAGGGCAGAACAAGCCAGAGCAGTCGTGGAGAAAATAGGGAGGAAAGAAGAAAAAGTAAAGGCAACGCCAGCGACCGCACGTATAACGCTACTTCGGTCAACACAGATCCCCTTAACACTTCGGGCGTCAGCACAGGGCCGATCGTTTTGATCCACAAAGTCGATTTTTCGCCACGACGCGACGAAAGACCGGTCAGCTAGCGTGGTTCCGAAAGAAACTGAAGATATCCGAAACGTTCTTCTGGAACTTTTGTGGCTAGTAACAACAGTAATCGCTTACATGGTCACATGCTGCAAATGATTTGTCCCAATGATTCGGCATGGCGCTATTGGCACATTATGACTGAATGCATTACATAAGGTTCTGCCGTCGCCACCGGACGAGATAGGCAACGCTAATTTAAGGATACTAACTTGTTATGAAAACCTATCTTGCATAGAAATCCATGTTGTCGCTTTCTACCTTGTTGCCCCTTGAAAAGGTTTGCATTATATACATAAAACAACGCTCGGCAGATTGAGCGATAAACCATGTCTCCTGAACGCTACATTAGTATATAACAATATCTATATATTTAATATATGAATGTAGGAAACTCTGCATCTGTGCTAGACATTTGACCGGTGCCGACGTTTTTTTCCTAAACCACAATTTGCATGGAACTATTCATCGTTTGATATCCATTCTGGGAGTATAATTGCCTGTATATAAGATTCAGTGGCAAATATAGGAAACGCATTGATTTTTATTTCAAAATTAAAAAATATTTTTTAAATTCGAAAATTAAAAAAAGGCGACCAAATCTGGTCCTAAACATTGCCCACTTTTGGGCAGTAATAATAAAAATCCCGTACAGTGATCGGGTTATGTGTCTAATGACACAACACTTCCACATAACGGTTCTCGCGTATTTTATTTTGCGACTTAAATGCGTCTCTCGTTTTCTGTGCGTCGTCGCTGTGATGGCCATAGCTTTAAGGTAAAGCAGAATCAGGCAGGCTTTTAATCTAAACGTAAATAGACGGGCATATATATATACGGTTATTTCCAAGAAGATAATTTAGGCATTAAATTGGTGTATAGACAGTTATCGTTTGATTGAATATTGCGGCTACGAGGAACAGTCTTAACACTTTGACCTATACTTAGATGCTACCCAGGTCCTCCGGTCATAACAAAACAGGACGACAGTTATTTATTGAGAGTATCATGGTTTGGAATCGCTTGCACTGACAGAATCAGATGAACAAGCCTTTACGCTTGCAAACGCCTATGCTAACGGGTTAACGGCTGTGAAACAGCTATTTTCACATAAACATTGAAACTAACGAGTGGCTCAATGCATCAACATATTGCAACATATGTTGGCGCATCGTTCTCCGGTATTGCCGTATGCATAACGTTCTGTTGTTCGTGATGCCTTCTGTGGCGTATACGAATCATAGTTGTCATTTCGTTATCTTTCGTTTTACTTTCCGCTCTTTTTCTGGCAGTATTTTAGATTTCGCAGCTTAAGTATTGGTCAGATGGCTTTCGCTGGCGTGGTGTCGACTGCTAATTCCTGATAACGGCTAGTCTTACTACACGCCAACAACAGCAGTCTCAACGGCGATAGGCGGCGCTTCTTAGCAAATTAAGAGGCAAAATAAACAAGAACAGACAAGGATTATAGCGGGAAAAAAGCGGAGAGAACGCGGGGGGGGGGGGGGGGCAGTTGTGAGCGTCGGTAAAAGTTGACTAATTTTCGTTGTTTACGACGCCACAGCCGCAGTAGCTGGCGCTCAACGTCTATTCTAGTAGGAAAGTAGTTAGACGTAGCGGAAGAATGCGCCATCTGCGTAGATGAATATGCCTCCTTTCCACATGAGCCTGTCGGGATCAAAGCCTATCTTAATTAGGGAACCTATGCGAGTAGGTTCGTGTCTTTATGGCTCCAAATCCTATGAAAAAAAAAAAAAACTGATCAACGCTTGCAGACACCTGCAAACAGAGCCAAACTTCGATCGTAGAGGTCTCGAAAGAGCAAAAAGTCGAAAGTTCATGGTTTCCCGTTTTGTACCATACTAAACACGAGTAGGAAATTGTCACGTAGATGCACTTTGTCTTACTCTGGCAGAGGCAAGTCACCTAAAGTTATACCTAACAGCCTAAGTAGTAGCAGATATCAAATATGAAAACATAATATGGAAAAAAGATATCTTTAAATTCAGCTGGCATGTTTTTGACATTTGACAGATTTCATTAAACAGTCAACTTTGATACGACTGAGAAGCCTTTATTCGATCGTTAACTGCGACGAGGTATCAAACCGAAGTGCAATCGCACGCTATATGGCCATGCAATCAGCTGTTGTACACGCCGTGTGTACAAACGTGTTAAGTACCATAGATATGCTTTCCGGAGTGACCTGTTTGAGGATGCGTGAAATCTTTCACATCCACGTCTATATGTGATCATCATATACGTGTGCTATAGTGCTAGCCGTCAGTGGTAAGTAGACAGTATCGAGACAACTAACTAACTGATGAATAGACACATTGCGTTGCCTTTGAACGCTAGCGAGCAGTCCACGTAGACTGTAATGGCTTTTCGAATCTGCACTTGATACGTTTTCTTGGTACGCTCCCATCGGGTCGTATTTTCAACAAAATGAAAACCTAAACCACATGAGAGAAAAACCGGGACCCCGCGCGTATATAACCGTTATTTGCCATATCTTGACGTCGTTTCATGTTGTTTGTATAGTAATCTATCTAGTTTGAGATGCAGACGAAACAGTAGACTATACATGAAGCCATGTGAAATCATTAAGAGACGACATCTTTTCACAACGAACTAATAAATGCCTATTTGCTACGGGAAATTCACTAAATTCGCTGCGGTTTATAACTATTTTCGCTATGGATAGTCATACATTGCTAAGCTTTGACATGTTAGAAGATCATATAATACATATGTCTATAACAAGGTTAAGATGTTACCCCAATAGGAAAATACAAAAGCAGTACAAAAAAATATATACGAAAAAAAAATTAATGAAAATAGAATAATACATTTCGTTAACATTCGTGATCGCCTTCAGGTATCTTTCTGGATACCTCCAATGTCTTCCATCGCCTATTGTTTCAATGTTAAGGTGGTAACCTTGTGACCGTTACGTTTAAAACGAGGCCCTTAGATCAATTTTATTTTTATAAATCGAAAATTGAACAATATTTTAATACACGAATTATCTATTTACTAAGGGCAAAACAGCAACGTGAATTAATGGAAAAGAATCTAGCTGACGCAAATTTGTTGATTCTTAAATTAGAACTTTAATGTTCTAAAACCAAACGCACTATAGCTAGCTATCACCACCCTTCTATTTGAATAACGTGAAACATAAATACAAGTGTATGTTTAAAGCTTTCCCGTAAAGCGTCATATCTCAATTCTCAGATTAATTATATATAAGTTTGTGTAATCAGCTTGGCGTGAAGTTCCAAATTATTCCCTGAGGAATACGAGTTCCCTCCTCGAACCTGAAGTAGCTCTGTACAATGCATATCTGTGCGTGCGCGCCTATATAAGTGCACGGTAAATTAGCTAATTTTCGCAAGTTGCTGCACCGCTGGTTAGCCTCTGTCTGTATGTTGATATGGACGACAGACTCATCGTTTGTCCGTGCATGGCTCACAAACCCTTTTCATTGCCTGACTCTGCAGAGTTTTAGACCGAAACCATCGTAGGCCAGTCCACGTTACTCTTGAGCATGGTGCTACGAGCTCTCGTGATCTTGATCATTTTCGCTCTCTCTCTCTCTCTCTCTCTCTCTCTCTCTCTCTCTATATATATATATATATATATAAGATTTATTAACACTCTTAGCCTCGCTATATGTTATTTATTTGCTGTCAACAGTGGCCGTTCGCTGATTCTATTCTACTGCAGCGCATCAGGGTAGATGCGAGACGGTTCTTGTTTTAATTATCATATTATACATTTGACACAGTTACGTCTCGTTGATCGGCCGTTACTGCTGTGGGATTTACAATGCATGGCCACCCGCACAGATACAGTCATCCAGGACACAATTTACGAAATCCCGCTTACTTGTCAGCACTTCTTCTATTGTGTCCTGTCTGCTTGCACGCTTTTAAAAAAAAATTATTTTACAGCCGCCATTGCACTCCATAGATGTTAGAAGCTTGAGCTGAACAAGACCGAGTCCGCAGATTTGCTACTTGCCCCATTCATGGGCGCGAGCATGCCCCTAAGTGCGCTACCATTTTTGCGTCGTGCGTTGTTGGTGATGTGTCCCCCCCCCCCCCCCCCCCCCGCTGCTACTGTTTTTTGCCCCTTTTTCAAGGTCACTTTCAGCACCGATTTAGGCCAGCGCGTAGTGTTTTCATCTTTCTGCTGCATTTATATCAACAACCACCACTGCCACTGCTCTCGATCCCAACAACCGGACTACCAGGCCATAGGATCTGCTATCGCGTTCTGTTTTACCCTTGTTTAACCCGTTCTGCTTCTCTTTCGAGTTCGGCTTTTTCCTCTATATCACTCTCGCTTCAAAATACTTCGCGCATAACGAAAAAAGAGGGAACTGGGCACATATTCACGCTAAAAATATTATGGTTGAAAAGTTTTCGAGTTATTTGCGTCCACACTGGACGTACTACCCACACGACGCACCGCCACGATCTTCGTCGCCTTTGACTTCTGCCCCTGTACATGCCTTCAGGAGGTACCTCTGTTGCCACTGCTACTGCTCTGAACATGGAAGCAAGCGGTGGTGAGGTGAAGCACGCAAGAGAAGCCAACGGAAAAGCCCCCGCAGGAAAGACCAGGGGCACCGGTACCTCTGTGGTCAACGTAATTACTACAGAAGACCGTCGTTAGAAAGGTTTAGACCGACCGCGACGAAAGCGAGAAGCGCTGGCCTTGTACCGGGTCTGGGCCACTGTCATAGTTCGGTTATTTGCAGAATGTTGTACAGATTTTTTTCGAAAAGCGGGCCGAGCTAAACGTAGCAACAGAACCAACGGCAACAGCAAGCCAACCCATCGAACTGGAAGTGGGTGAAACGGTGCATACGGGTTAGAAGAGAAGAAGTTGCGCTAAGAGTTCGATTAGTTTCGTTCCTTTTTCATTGTCTTGCAAAAGGGGGTTTCGTTCTTCGTCACTTAACCGTCCGATAACGTCGGCTAGCCTAATTCGCTGGAAATGTAGTCACTAAAAGGAGGCCAAGAACATGAGAGAGTAGGAACAGTGTAGTGCCCACTCAGGCGGCCCCAAATATAGTTGTCTATAAGCTTAATTTATTAACTGGAGCCACATATATATTATAAAACAGAAAGGGGTCTATAGTTTTATTATTAAATCGTGTCCTCCAGGATAAAACGATTGAAACTAAACTTAAGTAGAATTTATTAGGCGCGTACGTAGATTAATTGAGCAGCAATAAAATAAGAAGCATACTTACTTAATTCGTCGTTATATATATGAATTTTGTACAGAAGTGCTTAACGCTCTAAATTGTCTTGCCTACGAGAAAATAGCTTTGCTACTTATGAACGATACGGCTAGCAGAATGTCCACTACGACTCACTTAATCATTTTATTCACTTTGTAATCTATCCTTAATTGGGCTATTGTTTACTCAGATTTTTTCCAAGATTGGACGAACGATGATAGAGTTGTTAGCTTTGCATCTAGACAAAAGGGAATCTCTTAAAAAAAAACGTTTAGCAGCCGCGCTGCTCGATGGTGACCTACGTGTGTGTAACCCAGTGCGTAAGAACTTGTTTTTATTTCTGCTCTTCTCAATTGTCTTGACACAATAGTCTAGCTATAATTATAATGACAGATGATTATTATAACCTCATTAGGAAAAGCACACAGCGCTTGCTATTGCTCTATTTTAACTCGCATTTTTTTTTTGGAGGGCTTACAGTTCCTGTATAACACTGACGGCGCTCAAGCACCATGGAAGGGAATTGAAGCATGACTTGAATTTAGATTGCTCTCAGGACGCTATTTGAATATGCGCACCGTATCTGTATTTTATTTAGATGTTTTTAGTAGAAAAAAGAAAAAGAAAGGAAATGTGTTATTTCTTACTTGATTGTGGTGTTGAAAGGTTCGATCGATTTATCAGGCTAAGTAGTTGCTCGTTTTTTTATGGAGAAGGTGGTGTTCATAGATTGAAAGCAAATAATATTAAAACCTTATCGTTAATGATAAGTACTATAAGTAACGTAATCACAAACGAAGGGATCGTGTCATACACAGGGGTTATTGTGGTACCTGAACAGACGAAGCGTGTGCCTTGTCTGTAAAGGTGGGACCTGGTAAATTTTACCAATCTATATCTATCTGCTTGTGATACCTACACTATGCTTTGTGGTTTATCTTACATTTTAACATTATTCTCATAGCATGGTTACAGATTTCTTTGTCTAACGGCATGTGCGCAGTATACTGTAATTTCCCATATCTTCTATTCGGCACAGGTTTCCCTAATTAGTACATTAAAAATAGCTCAAAGTAGCCGCTCAGCTTTAAATCAACGAGCTCGGAAGCTGAATAAAAAAAAGTTCTCGGAAATATATTGTTTGTTGTTAGGTGGTAGCCACTCGTCAACGGCTAATCTTGACAGCGTTGGCAACGAAGAGTTCTTGTAGTGGCATCATAGAAACTAATCAATGGGTAAACAGGACAGAGACATCGACGATATTACCAATGTTCCTCTATAAAAATTCAGTAATGCATGAAGAATGAACATAATACTACGATAAAGTCGCACCGTGATCGAGTTACGAGGTTGGTCCCAGGGTTCAGCCTGACGTCTCCCAGGGGGAAAGTCCACTGCATAGTCGGTCAAGAACTTGCCTCAAACCTGCCAAAACACAGCTACTGCTCATTTCAACTCATCGAAAAAAAAGCCGCTGGCCCTACGATGGTTCACTTTCGTTCATTCCACCGCTGGTCTTGACTAGTTTTTCCAGGCATCTATCTGAACATCTTGGCCGCTATTTAACCCGTAGCAGCTGTAGGACGAATGTTGATTCATGAAAGGCGCCGATGACCGATACAGGCCGGGGAGACAAATTGACGTTCGTAGAAGATGAACCGCGTTATTTATATTACCGCCAGCGCTAGTTCCAATGTCTCCCTGTTCCGCTCTTATGGCTGCAGCAGTATCTCAGATATAGACGATATCTTGTGGAAACCAAATGCGATGAGGGAGTGAACAGTGAAGTAATGGCTGGAAGTGGCCGTAACAGCTTCAGCTGTTTTTTGTTAGTAGATAAATAGATCGAAAAAACTCACTCCAGTTGGAGCAAGAATAGAAGATAAAATTTGCCAATTGAGCTTGAATGTGGGTAACGTATTTTTAATTTGTCGATTTCTTAGACCACGACCGGTAAAAGGTTCCGAGGAAGTTGAATACGTTTTATGTGCAATTAGTTTATGCACAGCTCGTCCAGGTAAAGTCAGCATGTCAAGCATAATGGCTTTTACTTTAAACAAAAAAAAACCACGAAGATGGAAAGTACTCATGTAAGCCATGTGCTCACAAGCTCATCCGCAGCTCCTAGCCATTTTGATGTCAGGGTGAAGTTTTTTCTAATTTGATTTTGTCATAATTTCTATACAGTGTCCGTTCACCGTGCAGAAGACTGTTTCATCAACTTTACGTAGAATTCAAGTCACCGTCCATTCTGCTATTTAGATTGAAGCTCCTTGTTGAGCCAATGGGTGTGTACATAAATAATCTACTAGTTAGTAGCATATCTATGGATCCTGTAAATATCTATGTTATTTGCCATCAGTGCCTCCATTAAAGCAGCTCGTTATATCATTCTTCAGTAACGATATCTCCCTTGAGGCTAAGGAGCAAGGTAAGTATGCCACGCAGAACATTGTTGTACTGGGATAGGTTTGATTGAAGGCAATATAAAAAGCAAATAGGATATCAGCTGCCCCAATCAGACTGGTTAGCTGCTAACTTGATTCAATATACCATGACATAATTTGTGTGAAATAATTTATTATTAATAATGCATATTACGCATGGAGTAGTGGCCTTTTTTGGTTATTCCCGATTACGCAATAGGTTAAAAGTAATGGGGGTTGAATCTCAACGTATTATAGACTGTAGGTTTGTATATATATATATATATATAAGCCTACAGTCTATAATATATATATATATATATATATTTATTCCTTTAATTCTTCTTTGGACCTTCGAAATGAAGAGTTAGGCCTTATTGTCTACGTGCTTGGCGTACTTATAAGTGAGCACTTTAGGAGCACGTGGCCGAACCGTGCTACACTTATCCAGGCCATTTTACTAATTCTACCTGATTTATGCGGGCATCTTACTGCCTCGAACATATAATAGTAAGTTCAGTAGGCACTATAATGGGTTTTTTATTTTCAGAAGAGAAAAGGGCGACCGCACCTTTAAGTCAAGTATCGCATCTGCAATGTTCTATCTCCGCCGCTCGCTTCGTTTTCAGTAGAAGCCCTGTCAAAAAAAAGATTCACTCGAGGAGTTCCAGCTTTATACGCAGAGTACGTAACAGTTGTTTGACGCGATCGTTGCGCACCATCCGACTACTCGATCAAAATACATGTACCCGTATTCGCATTAAGTATAGACGTGGTGCAATACAAGATAACTAAAGGCTTTTTGAGCTATCCAGAAGACTGACATCATTTCGTTAATCTTAATCAAAGCGCGTCCATACTGAAAAAATAGGCGTCGCTAGTTTCGCTAGTGCCCATTACCGTGGTAGCTATGCCATCGTCACTAAGTTTCCACACCTCTGATGTAAACAACAAGGGCTCGTTGTTTTATCTGCAAGTCCCGTTAAGTGTTTTTTGTTTGTAACTTGTGTTTGATCGAACCTACAAGAATACAGGGCACGATAATGTACAGGACCAAAATGGATAACCGCATATGATAAAGCTTTGTAGGCGTTTTATTAATGTACATTTTAAATGTAAGCATATTTATCGTAGCTATAAGCCGTTATTCTCTCGGCGTTCAGTGTCGCTGAAAAGGTCGTACCTGTTGTTGTTGTTGTTGTTGTTGTCATGTAGAAAAGTTTCGATTTTACTCAGTATACGGAAGATGTAACTTATAACTATTACATCATTCGTGTTACCTCGATACGAATTTTTCATTCAATGAAGCAATTTTCAAGCTATTACATGAAGTACTAAACTGAATTCTGGCACCACATCATCTAGCATCACACAAGTTGAGTACATACAGAGGAGGACACGCGCGATTTTTGCACGTCTTGACCCTTGTTGCTTGCTGCAAAGACCTTATCTGTGAAACTAAAAAAGCCTGATTGAAGACCCGCCATACGGTACACTTAACGTAGAAGTTCCCGCCATACTTCAATAATAACGTGTCTGCCTACGGACTTTAGATACACATATCAGAGGTTATGTCGGATAGCTGAAACAGGCAGCATGTTTGTCACTTTAGGTAATAGCCACTGTTTGTCGTGATCGATATTGCCCTCTAACAGGGGTTCCGAACAGCTTTATGTATGTATGTAGTAGAATTCGCATAGAATTCAGCTACAATTTTTAGCTGATTTAAAATAAAAATTATTACCAAATGCTTAGTGACGTTGGGAATCGTTCAATCCAAAGCGATTAGATGGCAGCCTCGTTCGATGGTACAATATGACATATATTAAATCAATTTATAGCTCTATTGCCCTGCAGTGCCATCGCCTTTGACGGCGTTTTACTCAAAAAGAATCTGCACTTTTGGGCTTCAGCAGAAGCTTCAAAAAAATCTGACCGGCCGCGAATGCAAAGCGTGTCGCCAATTCCGTCTGTATGCTGTGTTGGTTTGCTTAGTTTGGTACTTCCGCGTTGTCGTTAACGGCCAACAACCGGGATTAATACACATAGTATGTTCTTTTCCTATGATTGTTTCGGAATAGTTAACCCCTCATATTAGTGGGGCTGCTACAGACAAGTAGCTACAACGATGAACTACTTCTATTCACGCTCATACAGATCCAAACGAGGCCACTAACTGGACGGCCTTTGTACAACGCAGTGGTTGTGTATAATCGATGCGGGCACGGTGATTTCCAATTGAGTCTAGGCTTATACTAACTAAGTTGGATCTGAATATGAAAGCCGTGGACTGCCTCAGGCTCTCCGTAGCTTGCAAGGCGGGTGTGCCTTATGCATGTACGAAGAGCCTGAGGATTCACTTGCAGATGCCCCAGCGGATTAATTCCACTTGGTGTGCCTCCCGAGGCTCGAACTCGGAATCGGCGAACAGTTAAGCTGTCACTATTGGTCGTCTCCATTTTACGGATTGGGTTTTTTTCGAAATTTTTGTATGCTAGATAGTTTACAAGAAAAGTTCAAACTTATAATAATACACCATTTATAATAGTACAGACAGAGAGGCTGACGAAGTGACTTGTGTCGCTGTTATTGACGGTTAATGAATTGTATGTAACAGTGACGTTGTTTACTTATAAGGTCGATAAAAACGCAATATGCCTACTTTGAATGCGCCTAATTTGTCTAGCACTAACGGGATTGTTTTTATGAGTATTATTTAAAAACTGTTCGTTTTCAAAAGGTGATCAATTAAGAGAAATAGTGCAAAAAAATTTTAGAGAATGAGTAAATATAGGTCGACGAATTATTTCGAAGCATATCAGCATAACAGTCTCATTTATCATGTTATGATATAGAAAATCTGAATTCTCCAGTGATAGTATTGAATTATATGAGTGAGCAACACCTAAAAGGTAGAAAAAAAATCTGGTTTCGTCCTTTATACAGTTACTAGATGCCACAGATGAATCATTATAGACCATAGCTATAACAGTCATAAATACTAGATTTTCTCTTTCTTCTGAAAAAAAAAACTAGAACTTGTTTTACCTTCAGGCTAATCTATTCTTTTCCTACCGTTCCATAGAATATTCAAGTCAAGGTATATTTTCAGAGTGCATCATTTTTTATACAGAAGGCTTTGCAAGAGTCGCCTTAAACCCTAGTAAATACGAACATTCATGTATTCGTTTATAAAAGGAACAGCAGTCCTGTATATTTCTTATCCATCCACATTGTAAGGCCCTCCCCTCCATATTTCTTTTATTGTATTTAAAATGCGATGCAGAGCTATCTTTACCAATAGAATCTGTATCGGTTGGAATATCTTTACGTTATTACCTACTATTTAGAGTGTAGACCAAACAATAGGCTTTCTTCTTGTTATTCGATTCGTATGTTTCTCTTCTAGTCGATACTCACTCTAACTGAAAGATATGAACGAGAATGAAAAGTTTGATAGTTGAGAATCTATTTTACAATACACCATATAGGCAATAATTTTGTACCAAACTATAAATGACATTAGGATAAATTTAATTTGCCAAATTTGGGCTGGGTTCAACTCTGTGGCCTGCTGAGAAATGTCCGCAACACTGTTTGGGGTTGTCGCCTGTGTGTCCGGCCAACCGAACTTACTGTCGATCCTAAGAAGAAAAATAGACTGATCTTCTTCTAGTAATAATTGACAAGACTACTTTAAGGAGCGATTCAACTACCCCTCACAGCTACGCGGTATAACAGTGTTTCAAGCGGTTGGGCAAAATCTATAATATTTCATACACAAGCGAAAATGTGTTCTGGTCCTTTCTGCCACTGTTTATCGTTATGGTCAGGCTATATTTCTTTTCCTTTTTTTATTTCTTCTGCTAGAACCCTGACACTCTCTATGACATAGACGCCTTGAACTGTAGTACTCTCTTCGAGCATGAGTAGCGAATCGGTGAAGCGTCGCATTATCTCACTGTAGCTATATAGCTAGTTAACTACTAATTGGTTTTAAAATGAAGTAGCTGAAACATAGCACGAAATAGATTTGCCATCCAGGTCAACAATTTGTAGCAGGCTATCTGTTGTGCTTTACATAAACGTAGCCGCTTGCGATGCTCTAGAGAATGTCATTTCAATAAGTTGGTGAAGTCGGTCAGCCAATAAAGGTTCAAGCCGAAAGAAAAGGTTCCACAGATTTCATCAGCAACGACCTCAGGAACAGGGCGTTCACCGTTTTTTAGCGTCTCATTTCAGAAAAGTGAGATTTTGTAATAGCCGTAGAAGAAATGCTCGGAGCTTTGCTCTTTCCGTCGCTGCTTCCGCTACGTTATCTGGTTTCTACTGTTTTTTTTTCCTATTCCTTTTCATGCTTTTTTAGAGAAGATGTTTCGTTGCTGACTCCAAATGGCCCGGGCACACCACCACCCTCAAGTCTTTCCGCGATCTTCACCTCCGTTACTTTGAACCCCCTGAAAACTATCCCCAATATCCCACGCACATACCTCGATTTTCCGAACCACTCTCACGTTTTTCATATGCTCCGCGTCCGTTCTCGGCCCTCACCTTTCTCGATCTCCCCTTTCCCCGTATCTTTGTCTCGCCACTTTCCACCTTTTTCAGGCATCTTTTTTTCTTGCCCCGACACTTTTTTTTTCGATTGAAAAATTGAGATCTACACCCAATTTAGACGTCTCGTCTTCCAGTTGGTTAAGAATATGAAAAATAGCAACTTCAACTCGTCGACGTGGCCAAAACAAAAGCTATACGCGCGGCTAAGACGTGTTAGTGTTACAGAAAAGCAGCAAACGCTTTAAGCTGACGCTGGGACGCAAGCAGAGCAACGAACAACCTGGGGCAACAAAGGTATGAAGTAGGGCTGGGATAATATGGGTTAAGCAATGGAAGGTACGTGGCGAAGAAACTCCGCAGGACTGTGCTGAGTTGCGTGCTGATTAGCTCACGATGTTGTTCTCTTCGTTCTAGAAAAACCTCAAAAACAGCGCGAACGCAAAGCATGGCTAAAAGTGACGGTCATGGCGAAGGCGACGCTACGATATGGGGAATTGAATTCTCTTATTTTTGCTGCTGCTACTGCTGTACAGCTATGGCTGGCGGTGACGATACCTAAAGTGGACCCCTTGAATAGATGTGCTTCCTATAATTTCTTGACAAGCAAAACGAAACGCAAAAAGCAGTTATCGATCGGACGAAGCGTATCTTGACGAACTGCCGTAAGCCAGTTCGTCAAGATACGCAATACTATGCCAATACGACCACTATGTACGTGAGCTGAAGCACGTTAGGAAACCAAGGACATTCAAACCTAGCACATGTTTATAATAGGCAAAAACAGGATCAAAACGTGACTATAACTTAATATAATAAGTGACATCATTCGTGAAGCTATATATATATATAGAGAGAGAGAGGGAGAGAGAGAGATCATTAAAATTGGCTACTCCTTATCGGGGAAATATTAAACCCGAGAAAATGCAAATATTTGATATTTATTCAGGTAAGCAGTGCAAGTGCTGTTGCATTTTCTGCTCAAAATTCTATATTTATATTAAAAAAATAAATTTTATTGCTGAGTAGGACCGGTTATAGATTCAAGTTGAGTCAGTTGGTCCTGTTCGCCACGCAGTCCTTGCTGATATAACCGGAGGCTTTCGGACTCTTCACGTAGTGCGGTGCCTCCTTTACAACAGTGTATTTTGGGATCCCATTTTAGGATCTCATCCTAAAAGGCTTCTATTCGAACTTAATTGTCAGTATCAGACCGGCCTTGACATCAGTTTCTCTACATTTTTTTTTTACAATCAATATGCGGCTTCGTTAAGTATGGCCGATTGGTCACAATACTTCACCCAGAGTCATGAACATTATTTTAAGAAACTGCGTTGATTTGATAATAGACATTCATCCGGTGAGCAGATGCCTCATAGGCCTCATTTTGCTACATTATTTGCTCGTATCATTTCCCAAACTGATTTGTACCATTTACAGATTAGCACCTCGATTGGGTT